CGACTAGAAATTGTCGGTTTTTATTCAATTGTCACCTTTTGGAAGGAAACTGGTAATCTTATCCCCACTATGTACATGTATGGAGACGAGTCCAATATGTGTGGCGTTTTAATATACTCACTTTTTCCAGAAAAAAACCATGCCGATAAGCTTAGAGACTTTTCAAAGGGGCTTAAAATCCAGGAGTCAACTGTTTGTGAGACAGATTATTCATACGATTGAGAAAGAAACACTGGGTGTGGTATAGTCCGAATGTAACGACGGCGCAAATGAAACCGGAAAAAGTGGACCAGCCACGAACTGCTTGATGCTGACAGTACTTTAATTTAAGCTTATTAAAATTACTGCCAGTACCGGGCAATTTGTACACGCTTTATTTTTTATTCCTCATTTTGTAAAGTAAAAAAATTATATTGAAAAAAATGCAAAAAGTGGACCTAGGTAGCTCACAAAGAGCAGTCGCCTGGCAAGCGGAGGATTCTAGGTTCGAATTCTGGTCTGGTCTTAGCCGGTTATTTTCTTGTTGAAACATTATTAAAAGCGGCGCGTCTTAGTATTTATGTATCGGATAATGCCTACCTCTCCAAAGATGCACCCTTTTTTATTATTATGGACCGTTACTTTGTATAACGTTAAAAGTAATCGAATCTGAAAATCGTTACTTTTCCTGATTCTCGTCGCTTTGATCCTGTTTGTGCGCGCTCTACTTTCCTGACAATATTATCTATTTGACGATAAATCTGCAGCGTGATGTCCTAGCTAGAATAAGGTGTTCGGATAATCCGGCAGTGCCGCGCTGTGTATGTACATAAGTACAGATATGGGTGTGATACGTGATACCGTTTCGCGCACAGCTTCGCGCTGTGCTCTTCTATGTAGATTAATGTCGACGCCTGTCGCAAGAGAGCTCGCAAGCTACTTTTACGTTGTCGCTTCACCACGCTGCGGTATAATAGGCACGACGCGTATCCCGTATTTTATCGAAATTGACGCTACTTAGTCACAAATACTACCGTAAATATTTAATCCTGGGAATTAAGATACATTAAGAATTTAGCCGCGCAATTTTTTCCAGTTTTTCCTGTTTATATATATATAATTTTTAGATATGATATTTTCACCTTTTTCCATTAATTACTTTCGCATTTTTAGCGCAGTTCTCTGACATAGAAATAAATTGTATCAATATTAAACATTTTATCAATGTATTTATTTTTTAGTCTTGGTATGTTTCACACATTCGTTTTGATTTGTAAAATATTAAAAATGTATTAGTTTATATCTCGAAACTGATATTAAAGAATTATTATTGGTGTATATTGTTGTAGAGCTTCTCTTTTTATATAGCTTTGTCTTAATTACGTATAAGACATAACTACTAAATTAAAAATGAAATTATAGTTAGAGAAAAATAATGTTACGTATTTATCTTCTTTTAACTTTTCTTCCATTTCCTCCTTCCACTGAGCAGCTAGATTTCTTGTAAGACAATTAGCTGCACGCGAGGCAGGTAACAAACGTTTATTAAAGTTATTTATCAACTTAAAACCGTCGATTTAAGATTATTATCATAATTGAGATTATTCAATTCAATGAAGAAATTAAATTTATTCTGTAGCTTAACTACGTAATCTTTATAATTAAATAATCTAATTATTTTGTAATTATTTCTTTTTCAGCAAGAGTTTAATTAAATAACATTTTTAGCTTCTTAATTTTATTATTTCTTAAACACGAAATAAAATCTCAAATTGAATTTCTTGTTAAATAAAATAAAGTAAATATGTTTGTGGAGTTTTTCTCAAGAAAATTAGCGATACTTAAAATGGAAACGTTTATCCTTTCTAATTATTCTAATATTTGTTGAGGGAATATGCATAACAATCTGTAAACCGTTATCCAAATGTTCATCCTTGCGTAACAACGATATTATACGCGTTCTAAAACGGTTAAATACGCGGTGATATTACGTTTTCCAATAGAATTCAAGACACGTCCGTTCTTGTAAGAAAGCAGTCCGATACATAAATTCACGAGGCACTTTAAGTTCGACAAATTGAGGTCACAATCAGTTATGCGTCAAGAACAACTTCTTCCAAGTTCTTTCGTGTTTCAATTGGTTTTGCAATCAAAACGATAAAAGTTAGAGAATCTCTTAAAACGATCATAAAATCTGTCATAATAAAACATTGACAAAGCTCTTATTTCACTTTTCGAAAGACTAACTTTTTTTTAACACGCACGTAGAATAGTTATATTATAACAGATACGACAAGAAGACGTATACAATATAATTAATGGATAATTAGTTCATTCAATTCACGTTGTTTAGAAATTTTGGGAGTAATTACTGACTTTGTCATTTTAATTAGACCGCAAAATTAATTTCCAAAGCAGTCTCCGCTTTTGGAACTTTAAGAAGAATACAATCCCCCATTATATGAGAGACGAAAGTTTCTGAATGCTGCTTACGCGTTACTACGTATCTAGGCACTACGTCGCGATTATGCACTTGAAAACTCCTCCACCCCACTCGTTTAACTCGCTGTGATGTCATGAGGCATGGTGCACGACAGCGAAGAAGACAGATCAGCAGCCGGAATTTCGTGTACACGGCGATTCTATTCACGTCCGTCGCGATGACGACTCTGGTATATATACGTGGAAAATCGCTACGTTCGCTGAATAAACCACTCTAGAAGTGGATTATTTCATTCTTCATAAACTTCCAAAGATAATGTAGATATAACAACACTTGAATAATATATTTCGCTAGAAGCCTGCAGTTGACAGAAGGAAGATCTCCTCTGTCAAGATGAATTTGGAGGGTATCGTATACCTAAAATTTAAGTGCAGGCCCTATTACGGAATTACTTAATAACGCAATTAAGCTGTAATTTTGTGCCGGATAATTTTAAACCGCTAATGTTCCTTCCGACTCTAATGTAGCTTCTCGCATCCAGGGAAGAAGAAGCTTTAGTAAAACCTGATTTTCCTTACATTCAACATTTTTATATTTAGTTTAACAGTACGGCATGTTCGTTATAAAGAGAATCTTTTTTTTTACCTTTCATCATTGATACATTTTTATAATTTAATAGAAACGTGTGTAAACCGCGATTTAACAAAGACGTATTAATTATTGTATAAATAAAATCTTCTTCCATTCCTTCTGTTTGTTATTTTAAATGCGAAAATGTACAAAAAACTTATTCTTGCTTCTAGCACTTTCGAATAAAGATTCTCGATATTAATAAGTTTCCATAGAAGTTCAATACTGATATTCATTACATTGCAGGTACATTGCAGAATACCTATGTTTTATGCACATGAAATTTTTGACCTTTCGTAACTCTCGGGATCTCTCCTTAATTTGCAAGGATTCCATATAAATTTGATATGAGATAAGTTAGCGCGAGACCACGATACCGCGGTGATGATGAAGCATTAACCTGATTAAATAACATCGTGTGGCAATGAAGCTATTTAGCCGTTATACGACCCTATAATGCGTTTATGAGATTAATTTAAACGTTAAATCAAGAATTATCAAATAACTCCATGTATCCAAAGTACGTGAGATATCGCACCAGTGGGAGCCTAACTTGAGCTCAACTTGTCGATATTAACTCTTCGGAAAGTTAGGAGTCATCCGGTATAACTCAAGCTATCGACGTATAATTTGACATGGGTTCAACCCAGATCACTATCTGTGGTTACCCAGCTTTCACGAAAATTAAGTACTTGATGCATACATTGCGGAATGCACACATTTCCGCACTCAATTCCGTGTGTTACAACCGAGTGACGACAGTCATGGAAAACCACTGGAAACTAGGTAGGAGGAGAACTGAAGAAAAGTTAGATTTCGAGAATTTAAAGCACAAAATCGCTATCGACTGAACAACCGCGATAATCTCACTTTCTTTCGACGTTTCTTCAACAAAACGTATACGTCTCAAAGCAAGAACATTATTAATATCTATATAAATAGATTCCCAAGGAACAACGAAAAGTCAAGATCACGTCAATTTGACTTTTCATTTTCCTTGGGTTGATATCGTAGCGTTTTTTTCTCGTGGCTATCTTCCTACTTTGAGTATGTGCATTGCTGCACGACACGAAAAGGACGAGACGCGAATTGTATAAACTACTGATATTTTACGTTTGGCACAAGTGACCGCAAAATGTATATATAAGACTTCTACTTTCCAGAGATGTTTCGGAAGGAAACACATCGTTACTTCCCAATCTCGTAAAAGGGCCATCCGTAACGAGTTGTCTATCCGACGTATCGCGCAAAATTGAAATATTTGCGAGAACGATCACGTGTAACCGTTAGTTTGAAATAAACATTCCCTGATTTATGTAATGTGTGAGCCCTGCGATACATTCCGATTTACGCATACTATTTTCACCCCATTCCGTGTAAAGTGCAGACATCGTAAATATGCTTCCATGTATGATATGAAATGCCAGAGTACATTGTACTGCCGTATTACTTTCGAGAAATATCGCGTTAAATTTGCTCGGTAATAACGCAATAAAAGAGGGTGTGTCACGGAAACAAAAGTGCGTAAACAGATTTCCGTATGAATGATGAAACGTGTTACGTTCGTATCCTGTATTGCCTTTTCAATAATGCAGGCTACTTGCGACTACGTTTTTGACGTATAAACGTAATGCACGCTAGAGAGGTTGCATAACAAACAGAGGTCGTACAGCTAAAAATATCGCATGCAATTTATGGCGAGAACTTACACGAAAAGTTTTAAAATAGTTGCGTAAATCTCTCAGTAACTCTCTCGATAAAATATTGGAAAAATCTTTATATATTGTACTTCATATACAAAGCGTCGAGAGCGATATTACTATTACATTTTTTAGGACCACAAATTTTGATGTCACTCTCCTCTCCTGCGTATTTGGTTTAATAAAAATTTAATCCTATTCCGAGAATGTTAATCCGGTAATGCTGCATAATGTAATGTGTAACACACCTGTGACGTTAAGAATAATGTGCTGCACGTTGTTGCACTCGCGGTTGACTGCCATGTATGTGGCCTCGCACTTGTATAGGCCCTCGTCCTCTAGCTGTACCTCGGGTATCTTCAAATATGTTTTCGATGAATTCGCCGAATACTCTATATCCGCCCTGAAACATTTCGTATAAAACATTCATGTTAAATTGATATGAAAATTGCAACGAAACGTAATTTAATTTAAGGCAATATTCCATGTTCGTCCTGAAACATTCGTGACGTAAAACATTCATACTGCTAGATTGATTTGGAAATTAGAGCAAAAACGTGATTTGATTTAGAATTTTTTCTAAAATAATTGTTTTAATGTTGATTGTTTGAAACTTTCATATGTTCAATGTAGTACAATGTGCAGCAGAAAGATACATCTGTCAACGTTGATCAGTGAAATTATAAATAGACGGTAACATTGAGGGAACGGTTTATTTAATGAACTTTAAATAAGCATTTCACGCGGCAACGATGACAAATATATTTTCTTTAAAATTTAATAAATTTCGCTTGCCACATCGCGCCAATTTTATTTTCGTATAATTGTCGCCATTCATGATTATAACAGCAGCTTTCACCAATCGTAAATATATTGATTGTTTATGTACTTTATTAATGACGATCGCGCGGTATTATGCTATTATGTGGTTCATGCCAACGCAAGTATAATGACCTCACGTAATGTCAATCTCAAATTGCGATTAACACTGGGTAATGAATCGGACAATCAATGAAATTAATCTGCTCGTTATCCCGCCTGAGTAGTATAATCCAGTTACGACGATAAGGTGGCGATATTATCGTCATATGTGTTATTTGAATCGACTCTATTTACATATTGCATAGATGCGTACGTATTCGAGAAATATTAACGGATCGGACGATCTTTTGATACGATCGTATGTAATTTATAACGGGAGTCAATTGCGCGTAACGGACATGTTTTTGTGTGTAACGCAATGCCACGAAAATTCCCGTAATGCTCGCAATTAGATTTGATCGCGATGCAAGTGCGTTCTCGCAAGGCCATTAATGTGCGACGGTAAACCGTGAAGCAACAAGACGTCAACCGAAGGTCTCGCCATTTATATCCGTAAATGGCAAGCAAACGCACAGTCAATGTATATAGGTCGCGCTCGATACTCTGTCAATAGAAGCTGGGTATATTCATCGACACATAAGTACAGCAGTCGGTACACATCTTTGTTGAACGCGCCATAATTCGCTACAATTGACATCCCCATCAAATTGATTACTTGTTACCTAAAGATGGACCAACAGAAAAGTATACGTATTGCGTAAACCGGCGGAAAGAATGAATTCAAATTGTGTCTCTTCCCCCTCTGTCTGTGCAAAATCGCAACGCTACTTATTTCATAATGGTTAAAGCAATAATATTTTCGCACGCGATTTGATATAGATGAAACAATGCTCGATATACATATACATGGCGTTTACACACAGATACGATCGTACGATATTCCAAAATCCGCTTTTATTAACCAGATTAAATATTGACACGAACAATTTTCAACCGAAATGTTCGTATTGCTTTTATTTTCCGTTTCCCCGGTTAAACGTATATAGCCTGTGACGAATCATTGTTTTTGCAGGCCGCAAATTCTGCGTTGGTATGAAACACAGGTGATCGTGGTCAACCGACATTTCGGCGTGTTGTTTGATCGACGAACCGTTTACGGCGTCATTAGTGCATTGTTGATACGACGATGTGCTGCACCGCTAATCAGCGACATCGTGCTACAGGAAACTATGTATCTTTTGCATTCGTGTGTAATTAGATCATCAATGTTATAAACTGCGATAAACATGTGTTCACGTCAAGATATGTAACGTATCTTCAATACCATTGCTATTCTCTACTCTTTTTGTACTATAGACTGTACAGTTGCTTTTTGAATATTTCATATTTTTGATCAAAGTATAAAACAGTTCTACTATTAGTGGTGGTCTCGCACAGGCACATTTAAATGAGAGCATTGTGTTCGAAATTTCAAGAGTGCCGCAAATAAGACAAATGTTCTTTTTAATGACTGATAATATTGTCTAGGGATATATTCCTTGCAACACTCCAAAGTAATAAAGTAAATGCAACATTTTTAACAATAATTAATAATATTACCAAGGGACTCTTTCTGTGTAACTTTTCAAAGTATAAAGTAGCTCACACGATAATACAACATACACAACGTTGCTTTACATTTCTGAGTTCTAAATCCAGATTCCAACTAATCCGGATAATAGTATGCCGTATTATAAAATCCTAGAAATAGGGGACACATTTTGCATTAGCATTATAAAAGCGTAATACTATGTTCCTTTATGCATTTTACTTATTCGCGGCATTAGTATATCATATTCTTACACGAAAAATGTATCATCTATCTCGACAATGTGTTTTTAATACTGCGATTGTATCTTTCACGTATAATAAAATATCGAACTAATAAAAGGCACATTCTAGATTTTGACTGAATGTATTTCGTACTGCAATTAAAGGAAATTTTTGCGCACAATGCTCGCGTATAATCAATGGTGTTTCTCACACCAGGACGCACTATTGCAAATGTATTATATATTATATAATTCATGAATCGTGTATAATTTACAATATAATTACTGAATATTGCTTTGCTATTGTACTACACGCGTAAATAACATGTAAAAGTAGATTGTTTCAAATTGCCTTCAATTCATGTGACGGAAAATAGTAGGGAAAACAGATTTTGTAAAAAAAGTGAATGTTCTACTTTAAAACAAAGACAGAATTGCTATTAAAAATTGTTATATTCACTTTTTACCGTTCAATGGTAATAATTATCGAGCTTTAATTTCGTTATTGATAGTATTTATCGGCAGAAAACTTATATAAAAAAATTACGTTTGGTTTTATATAATAGCGAAATAAATGCAAGAAGTTATAATTATATGTGTAATATTAGAATTTCTAAATGTGTACATTTAACGTGTTAAAGAGATATTAAGTCCAGATAATAAAGTCCATAATTTACTTAAACGTAGAGAATGATACTTTAATCAAGTGTCATTTAATTACGCAAACTACGCTTTGCTGTGATGCAAACATCGCATTTGAAAATATCACTACTGTTGTAATATTACATTTCGCTAAAATTTTGAGAGGGAATATATTGTAACTGGAATTATATATTATAAAATGCACAGTGCAGTTCAAACATTTTCTCGTTGTAATTCTTTTTTTCCCTTCCAAGCATAAAACTCACAACAGTACAACAATACTATCTATTCCTGCTTAAAAATTGCAACAAATGATGCATAAAAATACTATTGGTACTACTGCTTTTGTTGCTATATTAATTGCAATATATTAAAAAAATTAAAATAAAAAAACTGAAGTCATGTGTATGAAAATCTCGCATCGTTGCCACGTCAGATAAAATACGCGAAGAGAAGAAGAAAAGCGATAAGCGGCTATTGAAACGTGCTGCATAATGGAATTAAATAAAACGCACTGTACTTATAGATAATCTGTGACGTGCCTTTTCCTTTGTGATATCATCTGTGTTACTTTATTTCGTGTGGTTAGCTTGATATACGTATTCGTATTGAAATCATTTTGATCACCGAAATGAATATCCTATAATTTCCACATTTTTCAGTTATAACTTTCGCGACTAAATCGACAGTGCCATTTTCCCTTGAGAAGTAAAAGCCATTAAGTAGGTTTCAATGTTGAATTAAATTTTTATCTAGGATAGAGTAATAGAGTGATATTTAATTTTTAATGAAAATGTTAATTAGCTTAAAAATAGAGAAGATAAATGAGTGAGAATTAATTAATCAATATTCAATAAAGCTCACCGCTTTCCGTTGTTAATTATTTAAGGATATTGAGTGAGTTTGTTTTAATTAATGCAAATTGGCGCGTAGAGAAACACGGTTATCGGATGAAATCTCTAAGGAGCATCTCAGATTCGAGTTCGTGCGCCTAGTTGCAATGTGCACCCAGACAACAATGCTCGGAGTAAATAGCTATGGTGCTGAATCGAAAGACGTAGCTAATTGATTTAATGACTTGGAGGATAGCGAGGTGGCCTCATTTGCAACTAAATACACGCGTTTTTCTATACACCAATAATTAATTAAATTATTTTTATTATTAATAAAAGAACTTTTATTATATTTTCTATATTGCATAGCTGCTCTTTAATATTACATAACATAAATTGAATAATACTACATGTAAAGAATTCTATATATAACATTCTAAATTTATTTTGTGGAATGTTTATTAATCCTCTTATCAAGTAATTCATTCACAAATGTATTATTTACTTATTTACTTGTGTATTTATTATTTAATATTTATTATTTAGTATTGTTGTGAAGGCTCCAGAAAAG